GGATGTTCCTATTGATTAATAGAAGGATTTCTACTGAAGGTTCCTGAAATGCTTTCTCTAGCCAGCTGCTTTTCCCACAGCCACCCTTTGGGTAACAGCCTTCTTAGCAATGCAGTCATGAGTTTATTTTTGAGTAGGGGTGTGTGCTATGAGTAAGCCTAATCCTTTCTGGAGGCAGTGTTCCTCATGCAGTGTGGGATCAACAGTAAGTCACAGGTGCTTTTGGACTGGCAACATGAAAAGGACAGACAAGACTGGATCGGGCAACTCATGCCACATTCTCCTTGGTTCCATCATTGCAAAGGTCCCTCAGGTGTGTACAGTATTGCATCCTAAACAAAAAGTAAAGCATATAAAGTATATAAAGCAATAAAAAAAGACTTCAGACAAAGGACAGCAGTCAAGAAAGGTGACTAGTGTTTATTTTTAACATTGTATGTGTTTCAGATCCATAGGTTTGCTACACCTGTGATGCATGGATGTATCCTTTGATGTTGTAAAGCTCAGTCCTAAATATGATAATCTGAGTGCAAAATGGTTGCTGATGTGGCTGCTCTACTGGCTGTGTTGGCAACTATAACATGGAATGCAGTGTCAAAATCAAATTGTAGTTCAGATACAAGCACAGTGTTGTTTGATAGTCCACTCATATGTTAACTCACTTGAATATTCTGTTTTTAAGGTTTGATGTATTTGATATCACAGACATGTTTTGCATAACTATCAGTGGGATTAAGGTTAAGATGAATATGGCAAATGCTCTCATATCAGCCTTAGTACTTTGTCTTGCTATAAGGATCCCTTCCTGCTCTGGCAGGGAGATTGTGCTTGATCTCCAGAGGTCACTTCCAACCTCTACCATTCTATGATTCAGTCACTTAGCATTTACTTTGGATTTAAAATAAGGAAGAACAAGTTTTACTTGAAGGGGTAGTTATGGATGTTCCTATTGATTAATAGAAGGATTTCTACTGAAGGTTCCTGAAATGCTTTCTCTAGCCAGCTGCTTTTCCCACAGCCACCCTTTGGGTAACAGCCTTCTTAGCAATGCAGTCATGAGTTTATTTTTGAGTAGGGGTGTGTGCTATGAGTAAGCCTAATCCTTTCTGGAGGCAGTGTTCCTCATGCAGTGTGGGATCAACAGTAAGTCACAGGTGCTTTTGGACTGGCAGCATGAAAAGGACAGACAAGACTGGATCGGGCAACTCATGCCACATTCTCCTTGGTTCCATCATTGCAAAGGTCCCTCAGGTGTGTACAGGGAACAGTTTCCAGACTGGATCAGTTGTTCTGGTAGGACTGTTAGCAGCTGGCAGAGCTCCAGTCCTTCTTTCCTGTGACTTCACTTAATGGAAAATGCTGTGGGAGTACGTGGAGAGGCAAGGAAAGATAGCAACAAGGAACTGAGAACAATTCAGTCTTTATCCTCTGCAGGTCCTGGGTAGAAGAGTCTGGGTGGACTGCAATTAGCAATTGACAGTCTGCAATTGACACCTTCCTCTGTCCTATTTTCACTCTATAAATAATTAGTGTAAGTAATGTATGTTTTGCTGTAATTCTAATTATGAACCTAATGCCTTAGAGAAACCAGGAATTGAAATAATGGATTTTTAGTGATGAAAATGCTAGGAAGAGCCCTAAGTAGAACTGTTACAGCAGCACTAAGAGTTACTTCAGTAAAATAAAATTATTTTTTTCTTCCTGCCCCATATAAACCTAAATATAATTCTGGACCAGGATTCTAGTCTTGCGGTGATGAGAAATAATGGACTTACTTGGCTAATCAAGATTTTGATCACCTGAAGCCTAAACTACATTTAATATTTCCCTTGCTACTCCAAAAAAACAACTTTCTAAAGAATAATAAAATATTTCCTTTTTTTGTGTGTGTGTAGGGTAGCCGATAGGAAGTTGTCATTTAAGTGAGAACAGAGATTGCAGGCAGAAAACAGACTGACTCTTGCTAAGCAACTAAGTGTAGGGGTCACCTTTGCAGGAACCTATTGGCTGTACAAGTGTTGGATTAAAGGGTATAGGACCTGGCAGTAATTTTCCAGGAAAGCAGAGAAATAGGTCTTTTTCAATCATATTTACCAATCATGAGAACATTCTGGGTTACGCAGGGCCAATTCGTATTATATTTTTAATTTTTTAACAAACAGCACAAATGCACACAAATCCAGGTGCTCTATGCATGCAGTCAATGCATTGTTTGAGATAGCTTAGGTACTTGATGTGTGACACAGCTTCTTTGTGTCCCACTTGAATCATAAATGCAGAAAAAAAAGTGCCATTTTAAAAAGAAAATAGGTCTCGTTTACTTTATCAACCTTAAGACAAAATATCTTGATTCCTCAAAGAATAGAAGACTGCAGTATGCTAATGCTGCATCTGGCAAAAATTGACCATTTTTCTTTGCTTGCTCTAAAGTTGAGGGTTTCAGTTTTTAGGAGCAAAGGATGAAAGCCTGTGAATCTGCCTGGAGAAGTTATTCACGATGAATGCTGCTTCCTATTAGACTTGATAGTTTCCTGTGGTCCAAATAAGGCCATGATAAGCAGCATAGAATAAGACTAAAAATGAAGCTAGTTGTTAGTGGCCCCTGTTAGTTGATTAGTCCCAGATAATGGTGTATCTGCTATGTTGGGCACTTAGTTAAGAAGCTCCCACTGGAGACTTAGTACTTGTTCAGTTTTTTTCTTGCCATGGGTTTGAAAGCCAGTCTTCATTACTCTTAGTTCTGACATCTGTGACTGTGATGTATGCTGCACTGACAGGTGCAGGGTGTGACAGCCCAAGGTATTCACTCTACTAAAAGCCTAGAAAAACATCTTGGAGTAGTATTTTTAGCCATAAGCAATGGGGACATGGAATTTAAGATACTTATGATTGTATTAAGCTGAGACAGGTGTAGCACTGAATAGAAGTTCAGAAGTCAGATCATTTAATAATATACATAAGACACGATTAATGTTCTTTAAAGTCCTGTTTTCTTAAAATTATAGTAGCTTTAATGCGTGTTCATCAGTGACATTGCCTATAGCTTGTCTTTTTGTGTTGCTCATACTGATCCTAATCCTAAGTTTCTGTCTCTTAAGTAAAACATTTAACTGCTATTGACAAGAGAAGTATTTACAAGTTTCTTTGTGGTCACCTGGTTCCTCATGTTTCCTATCTGTTGATATATAAAAACATCCTGATGAAATTGAGCGTTTTCCTTAGTGAAATAACTCATTAGTTATCACTATGCACTCTTGTTCTATTAATGGCAAGTGTTTTGACTGGTTGCTTGTTTCCAGAAGAAGCTGTTTCAGGGCTGGTGTTCGCTACTACGTAAGAGGTAAAACTGCAAACTGATTTATTTTTAAAACAATTCAAATTCTATCTATACATGTGACTTACCTGTAAGAGTAATTGTTGTACAATGGCTTCAGCAAAAGAAAAAAATGCTTATAGTAGTTTGTCGCAAAGTCCTTGCTCCAAAGAAAATACTAGAAACCTTTATGATGAACTGAAGCATGTTCTGGTATTTATTAAAACTGACTCTTCTTTATTCGTTCTGGAGTTAACTGCAAAAGTCTTGTAGGGGTTTTTAATGCTTTACTGTTTTTATAGGAATTAAATGCAGGTGTGTAGTAGTCTTTTTGGCCTAGCAGTAAATGCTACTAAGCTCACCATCAGTGCTGGCAGGGGAGCTCTGAATAGTGGTGTTCTCTATTTGTTTCAAGTTAAAAAATTAAAAAGGAGATTGATTTAGTTTTCTTTGTTCATAGTCCAAACATATATATGATTTTGAAAAAAAATTGGTCAGTTTCTGCAGTACCACTGCTATTGAATTGTGAATATTTTGGTGTCAAAGGACTTGTATTTTATTTTGTATTAAACTACTCAATTTGTATTACTATAAATATGTGTGAAGCACAACTGTACTTCAAGGTAAATTTAGTACAGATCATGTTAAACTTTTTCCAAAGGTGTTTAGTTTACTATCTTCAGGCAGCTCTGTGGTATTTTTGTGCTTTCTGTAAGCATGTAAAAGAGAAGGGTTAGGAAGCCTTTTGCTGATACACTCTCTGTTCTGCAGCCAGTCTGAGTTGGTTAACAAGTTTTTTTCCTATGTAGGTATTGATTCAGAAGGACACGCTGCTAACTTTGTTGAAACAGAACAAATTGTGCATTACAAGGGGAGCAAAGCATCCTTTGTTCAGGTAAAGTCAGTGTAAGGAACTGTTCCTTGGCTTAAGATATATAGATACCTCTGTTGCTAAATACAGATCATGTATAAAATGTGCATGCACACAAATAAACTAAACCAGTTTGCTTTATTTTCAAATGGCAAGTGAGTTGGTAAGTTTTGTTGTTTAAAAATATTTCCATTCTTTTTCAGACCCGTGGATCAATTCCATTTTTCTGGTCTCAAAGACCAAACCTCAAGTATAAACCAAAGCCACAGATCAGCAAGTCAGTAAATCATGTATGTGAGTGTTAGTTGTGTCTTGGGGGCTTTATATAATTCTGGGCTTATGTTTGTGTGATAGGGGGTAGTTTCTTTTTGATTCTTGTCTGCAGCAGTTTTAGTAGCTACATAATACTCATTGTCTGTGGCCTGTTTAATAAGGAGAGCTGAATGAACTGGGGGGGATGAAAGAAAAGTGGAAATATATTGGCATAATAGAGAACATCAAACAGTTATAAAACTACCTATGTCATATCATCAAAAAGATGATTATAGAGATTTCTTGTAAAATAGTGTACATCTGTCAACACATTCCCTTTCTCTTCTAGATGGATGGCTTCCAAAGACATTTTGACTCACAGATAATTAGCTATGGAAAGCAAATGATTGTCAACTTGGTACGCTTTCACTTTTTCTTCCTGAAGAAGCTGCTGTTCTGTTAAGCAGGCTTTTGAGTAATACTGGTTTTACTCTTTTCTTTCTCCCAGGTTAACCAAAAAGGTTCAGAGAAGCCTCTTGAGCAAACATTTGCAAAAATGGTAAACAGCATGGCAAACGGAATGGTCAGGTATGGGTCAAGTGGAATTATACATGCTGTGTTAGAAGCTGAACAGTGTCTCTGAGACCCACAGAGGGACGGGTTTTTTGGGGGCCTTTGCCAACTGTCTGAGTAGTTTGTTTTATTTTCATGGGATAACTTGCATATGATCAGTGCCCTTACCTCACAGCTCACATTCTGAGCAGAAATGAGACTGTGAAGGGAATATTGGACAAAGAGGAGACAGGATAAAGGAAGCTCAGAAGCAAGGGTAATGCCACTATTGAAGGAATAGTGTGCTAGGAGAACTGTGGAGATCATCTGCATTTTAGGAATAAGAAGTCATGCCCTGTGGAACCAAATTCTGGCTCAAGGGTTTGGTTACATTGCTAACAAGAAAGGTGTGGAGAGTTTGAGCAAAACAGTTCAGAGATGGAAAGGAGGAAACAGTAAGGGGAGCATGATTCAAATGTCTGGACCTCAGTGTAACAGAGGGCCAAGAAAATGGAGAATGTACTTTAATTACAAGAGAAATTCCACCTCTCTCTGGGAATCTTCAGTGCAGTACAATTTTACAACCTGTCTGTGCTGGCTTAGCCCCATTTTATTAATGCCACCAAAATCCTTTTTTTGTTAATCAGTTTCGATGGTGTTTACCTTCAGTGTCTGTATGTCATCTTTCTTCACACAAATAGTCTTAAACTAAAAAATAATAACTTGTGACTTACTGGGCATTACATTCCTTCCCTCATTCATAACCCACATAAAACATACATATATAAAAATACTGAATTAAGTGCTCTAGATGAGTGGTGTTTATTAAAAACTGAATTGGCTGGTAAAATCGTGTACCAAGCCAGCAGCTGTTTAATTTTGTTATGACAGAGCAGGCTGTCTGTTTAAGCACAATGTGTCTCAGGTTTCTAGAGAGTTATCACATGCTGCATGCCAGCAAGGAATGTTGCATTTCAACACCTGTGTCTCTTTCAAAGTGAACTGAAGTTCCCAATACAGTTGCTTGGAAGAGAGGAGTGCAAAAGAATCCTGGTGGGGGAAAAAGAGTAAATCAGATGCATATCCCTTCTGTACTTTCTGGAGGAAAATACTAGCCACATCATGGGATAAGCAACTTGAAACTGTTCTTCCTCAGCCTAGAGGCATCTTGTAAAGAAATGTAAATGCTGTCACCATCCACACTAAGGGTGCAGCCTCAAGAAGATTATAGAGCACTGACAAAATCCACAGATATTTGCAGGAAGCCATCTCTAATGAAAAACAAAACCTCTGTAACTACCTGTCCTATAGTTCAGCCCATTTCTGTGGGGTTTTCCAAGGCCTTCACTGCAGTATGTATATAATTTAAGGAGATGCTTCTCTCTCTGAACAGATACGTAGCGTTCGACTTCCATAAAGAGTGCAGTCGGATGAGGTGGGATCGACTCCAGATTTTGCTGGATCAACTAGCAGAGCAGCAAGATGAGTTTAGGTAAGGCTCTGCAGTTCTTTTTACTTCTGTACTGCTAAAATGAGACCACTTTATCATAGTTACTATTGTCTTAAGACACAGTAAAACAGACCTGTCTTCTTTATAAAGAAGATACATTTGTATGCATTAGTGTTAGTGCCTCTTGCCAGAAATGTCTGCTCTTCAACTACATTAATTATGCTAATATCAGTTCTAGGCAAAGCTCCTTCTCCACCCAGAAGATTTCACAGATGGTATTGTCTCCTTTAATCATACAGCAATGTAAAAAATAGTTCAACAAAACTAGTTCTCCAGGAATGACAAAAATGGGTCTTGTTAGCTCAAGGTTGATAGAGTAAATGCATAGGGTTCTATGGGTGTTGATTTTTAATAGTGCATGATCCTAATACTTTATAATATTAAAATGCTGTACAGTAACAGTGGATCATATGCTAGTAAACATTCAGAGTTCATAATTACATAATCAGTAATAATCTACAGAATACGATCTGTAAATCTTTACTCAATCAAGTTTAATGCTGCAGCAGAAGGACGAGAAGAGTTCTGTCCCATTCATACATCAAACTGATAATGTAATCAGTGTGTTTGTTACCAGTTCAGTTATCATAATACTTGCCTTCAGGTCAGTATTTAAATTACCTGTTGGTTATCAATTACTAGAAACTTGGTTTAGTTCATTAAAAAATTTGAGGTAACAATTAGCATATGCAGCTGCAGGAGGGATCATCTGGTTCCCCTGGACGTTGACATAATGGAGATAAGAATAAGTGACAGTAGTAAATTTTCAGTAGTGGCCTTAAAGATTTTAATACTTCCTGGAAGAAGTGTGCCTAACAGCTTATATGGCATTTTATGCAGTGGTGATGCGGAGCTAGGACCCTAGAATAACTGGGAAAAAAAAAGTCAGTCACTGATCTTTTTCCCAGAAGCTGCACTTCTCAGTGGCATATAACTTGATAAGGCTGGTTGGCTGTCCATATGATGAGTGAATACTGCCCTGAGATTACCAAGTGTTCATATATGGATGCTGTTTTCCAGCGTGGGAGGGGAAGAATTCAGGGAGACACCCAAGTTGAAAGACATGGTTAAGACCTCTTTGCACGCTCGAGACCAGCTGTGTTTTCATTGCTGAAATATTTACTTCTGAAAAATGTGTGGTTTATATGGATTGTTACCCACAGTACTCAAGTGGATTCTGTATGTTAAGTTACTTTCTAGTTGATTCCGATGGCAAAATTGTGACTGCAGGAAGGAACATTCCGCAGTAACTGCATGGACTGCCTTGATCGGACTAATGTGATCCAGAGCCTGTTAGCACGGAGGTCTCTTCAAGCCCAGCTTCAGGTAAATATTTCAGTCTAGAGAGGAAAAGACTGAGGGGGGATCTAATAATTTCTATAAATACATGAGGGCTGGGCATGAAGAAGGCAAGGACAACCTCTTTTCACTTATGCCCTCTGATGGGCTGAAGGGCAATGGATTCAAACTCGAGCATAGGAAGTTCCACCTCAATGTGAGGAAGAGTTTCTTTACTGTGAGGGTTACAGAGCACTGGAACAGGCTCCCCAGAGAGGTTGTGGAATCTTCTTCTCTGGAGACTTCCAAGACCTGCCTGGATGCCTTTCTGAGTGTTCTGCCCTAGTTTTTGGTCCTGTTCTGGCAGCGGGTTGGACTTGAGGATCTCTGGAGGTCCCTTCCAGCCCTGAACATTTGATTCTGTGACTTCACTGTGGTTAAGCTGGAAGAGGAAGGAGGCTTTCTGTTTGGAATAGAAATGCAATTTTAACACTTCAGTAAGACCTTGCATACTTGAGTTACTGTGCTACTTGAAATGTATCAGCCAGACTCTAAATTAATACTTTTTTCTGAGACCAAATCCTAATTTTTGTAGCAAACTACTGATAAGCTTCAATATGCTTTTTGTTTTAGAGGCTAGGTGTTCTGCATGTTGGACAGAGAATTGAAGAGCAAGCAGACTTTGAGAAAATCTACAAAAATGGTAGGCTGTTCATAGAGTTCAAACAATCACCTTTTTTCTAAATAGAATACATAACTTAATATTTCCGAATGTTTTCCTTTTCACAGCATGGGCTGATAATGCTAATGCTTGTGCCAAGCAATATGCTGGAACTGGTGCCTTAAAGACAGATTACACAAGGCAAGTCATCCTTTCTTGTAAAGGTCTTCTGGGTTTTGGGGCATGTTTGGGATTGTCTATAAGTCATATCTGAGAAGGTTACTAATTTGGGGCTTAGTTAATGAATTTTGCAATGGTTCAACTGGTAAAATGTCAATCTACACCATTCTTCACTGTTTATATGAAAAGAGAAAAGGCTATCAGGAAATGAAAACAAGAAAATGTGCCTCTTCAAAGCACACTTACTTTGTGAGATAGAGAGGAGTGTAATTTTGCTTTCAAACATTGTTACAAGTATGCGTGGTAATAACAGGCAGCACTAGATAAATATATTTACATGCAGGTATTCATTAACCATGGTACATATCTGATCAATGAAAGACCTGTAAATCTGAAATTATCTTCCTGAATTAGAAATACGTTTAAAATATTCTTCAAAACTTCTTCTTGCAGAACTGGGAAGAGAACTCAGTGGGGCTTAATAATGGATGGCTGGAACTCATTAATACGTTACTACAAAAACAACTTTTCTGATGGATTTAGACAAGTAAGTTAGGCTTTTAACTGTGAGAAAATGTATTTGATAAACATTCATGTGCATTCTAACTCTTGCTTTCTCCATTTCTCACCCAGGACGCAATCGATCTTTTTCTTGGAAATTATTCAGTGGATGAAGTAGAACCTGCCAGTCCTCTACATGTCAAGAAAGATTGGAAGTTCTTAGCTGTGAGTATGGTGACTTTATTAATGACTGGAGAAACAAATGCAACCTTTTAGTCACTTACTTAATAGGATTAAGTAGAATTTGTCTATTTAGTAATGAAGCATCCCTATAATCTGGCTGTTTCTATGATACCTGCTTGTAGGACTAAACCCAGACTGTTCCCTTGACAGAAAATGGAGTGTTCTTGAGGTATTGGAAACACTGCTGTTGGCACTTTGTAAAAATCCACTTCATCAAGTGGAAGGGGAGAAGTTCTTCTAGTCACCATCAATGACTGCTTCCTTCTGCAGAAGGAGCTTGTGATGCTTCTTCTCATACTTCATGCAGAACCACAGACTGTAACAGAAGCAAATTTTTTCTTCTTCCCTTCTGTTTTGTGAAATGGTATTTGGGGACATCATGGGTTTAATTAGTGGCTGGTGTATGTTTTTTTCTAAACAAAACACAAACCTCTACCTCTCTTTTAATAGATGGAAGGTGTATTTTAATTCTGAATCTGGTTGTTGAGCATACTCTTCTGAGTTTTTGGAACTATCCAAAACTGTAGTTGTACCTGTCAGGAAGTGAACTGGTAAATAAAGCAACTTTATTGCAAAGAAAGTAAATAGCTTTGCAGTACAGTTCATTTGAAAGGAAAGTAAGGAACATAAGTGCTACTATGTCAAGTGATTATTCTTTTTCTCTTTCTGCAGTTGCCTATTATTATGGTGGTTGCTTTCTCCATGTGCATTATTTGTTTGCTAATGGCTGGTAAGTCGCTATTGAGTTTAATTCCACAAAAATAGCTGGCTTGTGTGAGGGTGTTCTAAAATGGTTAGCCAAATACATTCAGTATAAAATTGTTTCTCAGTTATACTAAAAGGTGTCTGAACATGGCTCTGGAGAGTGAGGGTTAGCCCTAGGTCATTAATGTGGAAAATATAAAACAACATTAAAACTTTTGTGGGAATAAGTTAAAGGGCAGTTAATTGCCTCCAAATCTAGCTTCATTATAAGAAGAATCCCCAGAAGAACACCTACTGAATTTTGGGCAGAAAGACAGTTCAGAAAAGTCAGATATAGGCATAACTCTGTTTTGATGGATGTCCTCCTAATTTAAATCTGTGTTAGGAGTTGTGAAGGTTTCTGCTTTTGCCTTGAATTTTCTAACGTTAGTGCCAGTAGCATTCTTGACTCTGACTTCTGTAACTGTCTGTTCAAAATATTCTAAGAACTGTGTGGCGATCACAGTTTTCATAGATAAGGAAATACAGGAAAAAAAAAGAGACCCCGGTACCCATGAAGGGCTTCTAATTTAGTTTGACATATCTCTGAGGGGGGGGTTGAAGTATTTTTCTTCTGTACTAAAAAAAAATCCTCTCCAGTGACTGAAGATGATGAACTAAAATGTTTATCTGGTTCTTAACAGGTGATACATGGACTGAGACACTGGCCTATGTGCTTTTCTGGGGAAGTGCAAGCTTTGGAACTTTTGCTATCATCCTTTACAACGGCAAGGATTTTGTAGATGCACCCAAGCTGGTCCAGAAGGAGAAGATGGACTGAATTTGTGTGTGTGGAAAGCGGCTTGGTACTGAGGATTCCTCAAGCCACACCTGGAGTCTCTACTGACCTGCTTTCCACACCAAATAGTGGTCTTTTTAACATTCTTCCTTGGCAGCAGGGGTTGGGGTGGAATTCATGTCCTTTGGTGGTGGTAGGTCTCAATGGGGCCTGACTTGACAGTCTTAGTGGCAATGATCTTTGGAATATTGCATTAGTGGAGGGGGCTCCATTC